GCATTCTGTGCACATGGCCTCTAAATAAAAATATTTTGGAAGACAAAGAATTTTTCGTCTAAGGGGTAGTTTGACTGCTACTACATCCTTTAGATATATAACGTACAAAGACAGAACAATCTGAAGACTGCAGTTAGTTAGTCAAAAGGAAAGATGTTCCAACATTTGTAATCTCTGAGGACAGTGCTGTGTCTCTGTGGAGTACAATCAGTTCTCATTTCTGTCGATCCTACCAGTGCTCTTGTCAATGTGGATCCCCCCATTCATAGATCTATACTCACATCCCAAAGACAAAGACAATGGACTTTGAAGAAGAAGAGAATAGGATACAGCCATAAACATAGCCTGTGTATCAGGATCGACCGTGAATCCTAGTCTTTTGGTGCCTTTTACTTATATTCCATTTTTCTATTCTAACTTAGTGCCAAACAGTGCTTTACCACATCACCAGTATCTCAGAACAGTTACCAGAGGTCTTTCTGTATATGTTGGGGGGGAGGGGGTGGAGACGGAACAAGAAGACTCTTACTACAGCACTAATGAACATACAATTATTTCTGAGTGATTAAATGGCAAAGGCCTGGATGCAGTTCCTGCCAGGTGGTTGCCCTGAAGATGTTACATATAGAAACATTCTTGTGCCACCACACTGGCAAAGTCTGATTTTTTCTGAAGGCTATTCTGCTTCCTACAGGCAGGCAATAATTTTGTGGTATAATCTAACACAAGTTGCTATGAAGTAGTAGAGTTTCTGCATGAAGACAGCTGTTTTGTTGGAGAACCATCATTGGCCCTCAGTGAAAACAAACAGCAGCCACAACTATCTGATGAAATTGAGCTAGTTCAGTGAAAAAAAAGCAGTAAGAAAAGTTGTTGATTGTCTTTTTTCATACTGAAGGGATACTGGATGACACCTACTCTCAAAGAAAAAAAAAAGCAACCAAACACCTGCATGGAGTAGTGAACAGTTTGTTTGAAACTGAAAGCGTTCTCCAACAAGTGGACAGAATGACCAGATTTTGGTTATATTTTAAGGCAGTATGGGATCTTTGACTGGAAGAAATACAGTACATGAAGTTATACTGTGATTGCTGCATTTAACAGCTACTGATGGGCTTTATTTCTATTAATTCTCCACTCGTTTTTCAAACCCCTTTATACCTTTGTCCTTCCTAACATTCTGTGACAATAGTTTCTTAACAGCAATTTAATTATGGGCCCTGTAGGAAAAGTTGAAAAGTTACTGAACCTTTGTTTAGACCTACAGCCTAATAATATAATGATCTATCTCTGCACTGTCATACTTTGAGAAACAAGGAGTATTTCCTTATTCGCATCTTCAGAGCGGTTTTGCAAGATGCAACACTTATATGCAACATCATTTTGCTGAACCATTCAGTCCTCAGAACACTGACTCCTAAATAGCCTAACAGCATCCCCGGACAAAACTTTTTAAAATTACTCTTCCTAGGGGGTCACAAATTATTCTTAAATCAGGTACAGTATTAAGAAGCAAACAATTATATGAAAGAAACAGAATTGGCACACCAAGCTCCTACAGACCTGTGCAACTGTGACAGAAGGAAGACAAATTAGTTCAGCAAGTTACTGAATGGACTTAATTTTAAATGTTACTGGTTTAATCCCAGTTTTGGTTTACTTCGCATAAACCTTCATTTATCTGTGTTACTGAAAACATACCATAATTCATCTGTGATAGATTACTATAGATTTTTGAATTCCCACTAGTGCACTTAAGATGAATGAGTTTTAACAAGTTTAATTTCAAGTTATTCAAAGTGTTTTATAATACCAACATTAATTTTTAACAAATTAGATTATATTGACTTTTAAAAGAAGGCCTCCTTTGGAAGAATTATCATTTCTACAGTATTCAGGACCATTGTAATGATTTTCTACTTAAAGTCAATTCTCCTGTGAACCCATGGAAGACAAAACAAAGCCTGATCTATGGAAGCTACACTTTGTAATATTGTCTATGTACAAGCTGGCCGAACAGATTCATTCTCAAGGGCTAAATGCGGATTTTCTGTCTATTCTTTAAATTCTTTTGAAGAGGAATTTCTACTAGTTTATCCAAATTAAATTATCTGTTACAGGTTTGTGGCATGTACTACACACTTCCAGGGATTTACAAGACACTACCAAACTCACTTCACCTGGACTACCAACTAGACTGGAAGCAAGAATAGAAAACTGAAAAGCCAGAATTTTTATTCAGTGAGTTTGCAGCATTTTTCAATCCCTCAAAGCATATTTCAAAAGGTGAAGTACTATGTAGCCCATAAAGTCCTTTTCAAAAACTAGAAATCAGTCATTATTATTTTCAAAATGTCACAATTTTTATCTTATTTAATGCTTTTAGAAATGCAGAACTGAAAACCAGGATTTTTCTGCTGTGGAGTCATAACACTTGAACTCAAGTCAAAATACAGGAAAACTTTCCTACAGTACTAATGGCTCTGCCTATTTGATCTTTCATTACTTTCAGTAATTAACAAATTTAATTGATAACATGAGAAAACACAGCATTCTTGTGACAAATTATCCCTAGTCATGCACCAAATAGACCAAATAAAGATAACTCATTCATCTATCAAAGTGGTTTCTTTAGCATATGGACATACATACTCCACTTCAGAGACTTCATATCAGGAACAAGATGTTCAAACATTCCTCTAAGGTCAGTATATATTAGTGTTGCATCACGTTTCACCCATTCCAATAAAGAGTCAGGACAACAGTGAAGAGTCCCATACTTTCAGATACATTTTTGTACATGATCCATGTTACTTTCTATTTCATTCAGAGCATCATTGTATGCTGATCAGGAATATTTCAATATATAAAAAATATATAGACATAAAACCTTAAGATACAAAACCCAATTATTCTTGGTTTGTAATAAAGACTATCTTCAGATATCAAATAGGAATAAAAATCTTCTATTTATGTTTTCTATACATGCTTTCAGTTACCAGTTTTCTGTTTCAGTCACAAATATCCTAGTCACATACCTGCTTGCAGTATCATTACAAAATTAACACATATTTTAGAAAAATCTTGCCACCTTTGTTGTTTTATCTTATTATCTAAGCTTTTGATTTCCTCTATTGCTATGAAAAGTGGCAAGTATTACTTATATTTCTTACACATACACAATTAAAGGACAATAATACGTAATAAAAACAAGTTATAGATGTCAAATAATTTATTCTTTAGCTAAAAACTAGTTTCTCCAGTTAAAGCAAAAGGCTCTGAGACAATTTTCATGTGTTCAAATAGAAAAAAAAGCACATCTGAATTACTGAGATTAATATTTCTATCAATAAATTAATCTAACCTGGTTTACCAAAGACAAACGAGGATCATTGTACAGTCTTCTGTACCCATGAGTGATTTGCTAACCTACAGGCTCATCAGTATTCTGCACACACTCTCACAGCTATTGTGCCCCACACCTTTGTCTGTTTGGCCAAGAACACCCACAGAAGTTAATGAAAAGTTGAGAGTCTTAAGGCATTTGAATGAACAGCATAATTAATTTCCTACAGCTGGAATTTAAGTTATTAAATGTCTTTTTTATTAACAAAAACTACATTCAGTTTCAAAAATTCAGACAAATACATTAATAATATAGAACACTGAAAAGTAATACTTGAGGTTGCCTTATATTGCTCTCTTTTTGACATTGCTACAGAAATGAATGAGGAATACTGAATCATGGATATCAGTCTTACCACTTGTATGAATTACAACACTAATATCAACTACATCAAGAAATAAGTACCTTCTTAAGGACATAGGTCTATAAAAGGTATCACTCAGTAGCACACACTACTCCTATGTTTTTAGGTATAGCTAGTTTTAGCCGTAGATATGCATGGGGTTTGGACATCAAATTACCTTCTTAGTGCCTGTTATTTCAAATATTTTGCTTCAACAGAAATGTCAGAATTTGTTTTCATTTCTCAAACTGAGATGTTTGGAATTTGTCAATAAAACAGAAATTATATCAACTGCAAGAGGGGAAAAAAAAAAAAAAAAGGAGTGCTGCTGTTAACTAGGACTCATTGAGACCACATTCAAATCCTTGATTTGAATTGCAGCTGCCAAGTAGTTCTTAAGTATTCGCTACACCAGAGCAAGAATCATTATCTAAATGAATTGAGTCTCAATCTGCCATATTGGCTGAGAGCTCCCAGGGTCATTCATATCTTAGTGTGGAAAACTAAGGATTTACCCTCCCAGCTCTATGCCAATTCCGTTCTGTACCTGGGAAAGAGAAACCCTTTCAAACAAGCATTTTCATCAAAATAATACTATTCCCACAAAAACTTTCGATTTACATCTACTAGCAATTTATTTTCAAACAGCCCCAGTAGCAAGGTCTATCTGTCAGAGTAAACCAAGCCTTGAAGTACTCTAGAGTCTACTCTTGCTGCATTTTTTTTTCTGATAGAATAATTTACTCTAAATCAGTTCCACCATATTCCCTACAGATTCCTATGCACTGCATTGAAGGCAGTCATCTATGAGGGTTCCTTGTCTCAAAAATAAAATAAAATAAATTATACAAAAAAAAAATCTGAAATAAAAAAACCCAACCCCTAGAAACCCCCTACTTTTATTTGCCAGCCACAGTATGAAACAGCAACTGGACTTTCTAAATGAAAAGTTACAGCCCTATAATCTTATTGAAAAAATTCTGTACAATTATCTGCCTTGATACGTGACAGACATATTCTAAGAAACATGGATTATTTGCACCCATGCACCTTTCATGAGAGAGTGAGCAGTTTTGTGTAGCATTTCTCCTCTCATTAAAAAGGAGACAGGTACAATGCTGACACCCCTGTTAAGAACAGATAGAAAGAAAATACTAGAAAGTTCTCGTTGTCTAGGATACTGATTTAAAATCCACTGAAAAGCTGCACTATTCCTATAAAGACTCAGAGACTAAGGCTTAAAATACTTACTTGATAATGTCTCCTTCAAGAGCAATCACTCGTTTAATGATCTTCTGTTCAGGGTTTCTAGGAGACCTGAGACAGGGGATAAGGTTATACAATCAGTAATGTTCCCGTTGTTTTAAGAAAATGAAAAGAAATTCCACAAAGAAGTAGACACTATTAAAGTCATTAGGAGATTCCATGTTCTCCTTGATATAGCATCAATCATGATGTTCCACCCTGATGTGAAGCTACTGTAATCATTCTCATTGCAAACCATCATTGAAAAGCAGATGCTGAAAAATTACCTGCTTACAAACACCGCAGTAATCAACATACCTCTTATCATGAAAAATACCCTCCACAACATTCAAACTGGAGTGTCCCACTACCAATGAAGAAGGTGCCTGTGCAGATAGATTAATGTATTAAAACCTGAATCCCCCATCAAACTTTAACATTGTGTTTAAACATTCATGTCATTCACTTACTTAGGGAAAAAAAATCTCCCTACGTTATATTAATTCCTATCACTAATTTAGGTAAGCCTTGCCTAGGGAATTGTGGAAGTTTAAAAAAAGTTGTAAAATTTTCCAAAAGTTTCAGCTTAATCCAAAGCTTCTTAATGCAATACCAGTGTTTTCACTTCAAGTTATTTTCCTATAAGCATGTATAATTGAGTGGATTCTGATCATGCATTACATAGTATTATGGGAAAGCAAAGCTGAACTTGCATGCCCAGCCTGAATACTTCAACTTCCTGGATGCATATTCATCGATAGAACTATTTGATGCATTATTCTACCACAGTTCTGACAGGTTAATATAGACGTATGTGCACCGTAAAACTTCTTTATTTTCTATACACTTTACCTCTTATTTTTTCATTTTTCACTTTTAATTCTTTAACTACGCAAACTTAGTAGAGTGTTTTCACATTATTTAAAAAATTATTTTTATTTTCTATGGGAAAGTCAGGAAAGGAACAAATGGTTTTAACTTTCTGATGATGCTTGGGTTCTGTATATTTCACTCCAAGTACAGCCTGCAGGACATGCAGTCGCAAGAGCTTTATATTACAGTTTTCATGTCTAAAAACATCAGCCATGCCATCCTCACAACAGACCAGTACCTTTGAGCTTATCTCTGGTCAACTAGTAGCACAGTAAGATTACATTTCCTTAAGAAGAAAAGCCGAGATGAGTCTGGATGAAAAACTTCTCCTTGCTGCTGCATCAATAAAGGCATTTGCAGTTCACTTTCCATTCCAAAAGTTAAAAAGAAAAACAGTTTCAGACTTACACAGATTTTTTTTAATATGAAGCCAAAAAAAGTATTCATTCACTCAAAAAGTAAACATTTTAAAAGTGGTTTGGGGGTTTTTGTGTGTGTCAATATATTTTAAGTGTATTTATATTTCAATGTAATGAAACAAAATTAAAGAAGCGTAATTTCAAATTTCAAAATATCAAATAGTTTCACTTTACCGTTTACCATGCCTGAAAAGCCTATTTTCACAAAGCAGTGTGGAGCAATGAACATGAATAAGGACCACACTTTGATTCCCTAGTCATCATTGGAATTTTCAAATCATCATATCATTATTTAGCATTAATTTTATCTGAAAAGTTGTATATTCTGGTTCAGTCTTGTCTTTGATGCTCTTTAGCAGGATGATAATACACATTTTTATAATATTTTACAGTCATTCTTGGGAGGAATTAATCAAGTTTTAGATGCTCATATGATTCAATTATCTGGATTATCTGCAGCACTTTCTGATGCTGCTCCCTAGCAGGCTTCAGTGCACACTCATTCGAGCATTGACCACCTCTCTTTCTCAATCAGAGCACAGGCTAAGAAAAAACAATACACCTTTACTATTACAAGCTATTATAAATTAAAAATATTTGCATAAATTATTGTAGTGTTAATTGATTTCATTTTTAATTCATTTAGGCTCAGATTGTAATATTTTCATATTTAAGTAATGGAAATAATAATCTGTAAAGTATGTGATGAACTGTGTGTTTCTCAAAGACTGAATAAAAACAAATTGTAAGTTTAATCTTTACAAATTATGTTCTGATTTAACTCCTTACTTTCAAAGACTCTTTGAAATTCCCCAGGTAAGCATTTTCATTTGATTAATACGTATATATTGTAACGTAATTACTGACCTCTCCCTTAATTTGCCTTCCTTGTGCAAAAAATTGTACTGACCTTGAATAAACATCACTTTAAATCTGACATATGAGTATTTGTTCTAAGAGTGGTTACTTTTCTGCCAGTAACGACAAGTTTAACCAAAACACTTATCAGAACATTTATCAGAAAGATTTCACGGAATTCCTTGTAGATAGTTATTATAAGTCAGGAATATTTTTAATATTTGAAGCCGGAATAGTTTAAAAATAAACTTTATACTAACGTTCTGATTATAATTCATGAAAATGGCAAAGGACTGGTAAGAGGGAGCACCAGGCTCAAACTTGCCAATAACACCAGCACTTTTAAAACAAGGATTTTCAAGAGGTGATCAGAATGTTTCATACAAAAGCCACGGTGATTGAACAAGAGGTAAGAGACTAGTTCTGAAGTGATGGGTATTGATGCCTTCCTGAAAGGTTTTTAGTGCAACACTGGGATTTCATTGATTATGGAAATCACAAAACCACACAGATACAGGCAATTTCTGTCTCTGAAATTTCACAGCAGGTATAAAAGAAATTAAACAATGGAGGGGGAAAAAAAAAAGTTGTAATCAGTAGTTGTTTAGTACTTTTCTCTCAGTGATATCAAAGTGAGGTAACAAGCAATAATCTTTGAAACTGGGATTTGTTCAAAACAGAAGGTAATAGAAAAACAAAGGAACCTGTTGGTTTAACTGTTTGCATCTCTGCTAAATTACAGTTTTTTCATTCTCCTTATATGAAAGGTCATATTCAGGCATATTCCTTTTATGTGATATTGCGTGGGAAAAGATGAGATCTCTTACACACAGTAAATATATTTTGTCTCCCAAAAATGTCATTCAGAAAATACAAAGATCGTTAATATGGATTAATAACAACCATCCATACATTTACCAGCCAGACCCATATCTGATGTTTCACAGAGCAGTCGCCATTTCTTGATGACTTTCTAAATCAGCCTCTCAAAAAGTTAAGATTACATTTTCCTCAGTAAAAATATTTCCTCATCTACATATAAACATTATTCACTGTGCATGTATTAGAGACACCCGTGCAAGTAGAAACATTCAGAATGACTACAAAAATCTCAAGCACGTTACAAATATTAATGCTCAAGTTGCAGTTAGCAGCACATCAGCAATGCACTAGGAAAAACATCTCTGGAAGGTAAATCCACTGCTGAAATGCAGATTGAATTCTACTCCACTCATAGCCAATTTTCCTTTTTCCATGAAGAAAAGTGGAAAACAGACAATTCTAGCAGTGTGTCCCTCAAGCCATCAAGTTTGAGGTTAACTCATTGTTACCAACTTCTCTTTAAGCAGCAGCCTTCTTTGTTCAAGCACCTCAAGAGAATGACTACTGTATAATACAAAAAGAAAGCAATGGCCTGTGTAGCATCCCAGACTGAAAAATATTTTTATCTGTCAAATCAATTCTTTAAACTTTACCTACAGATCACCTGATGGCTGGCTGCAAATAATAGGGGAAAAAAAGCAACATCCTTGCTGTCTGAAACACCTTTTGATAATGGGATGTCTCACTCTGCCTTAGTAACAATTTCTAATTTGTTCCAAACTTCAAGTTTATGCACAGTGCAATGCAGAAGTCCCATCCTCGTGCACAAAGACATGAATCGTGACACCAAAATCCACATTCAGAGTTTTAAGATAAACAATTTACCAAGGGAAAATTAGACATTTGGTATGTATTTATGGTCTTCCAGATGCAGCCTTAGCAACTCAGAATAACCTACCACAATTAGCTTCTGGTAATAATCCTAGATCCTTCTCCTAAATCTATGCTCTTGTCTTATTCCATATTGACGTTCAGCTCTATAGTCCCCATCCACACCCAGCTTTCATTAAAAACTAATGAACAATTCCACCACAGTAAAAGAAGAAAAACAAATGCCTGTATCGTCAGGACATCATTAACTTTGGATTAAAGCCTCTTATGTCTGGTCATTTGTTTAAAAAGCAATTGAAAGAGTTAGATTAAGTAGAGGTAAAAGTAGATCACTCCAGCAATTAGGGCAGATTCAAATTCCTTATTCATCCCCAGCAAGTACTTCAAGACACAATATTCTAACCTCCACCTATGCGCTATTCTGGGACACGTCTCCCTTTAACTATCCAATTGATATTACTGGGAAAAAAAAAATGCAGACTACATAGGAAACCTCCTTTGCCTTCATACACATTTCATGCTAAAGTTAAAAGATATGGTTTAGCAGAAGAGCAGTAAAGAGTACAATTTGTTTAAAAAAAAATGCTTTTCAGAGCTGAAGACACACTGAATGTCATCATGGAGAGAAAATACTGAGATGATGACAACTGGTCGGATAACTTCAGCTGGGTTTTTATCAGTGATGCATCCCCGAAACCACAGTCTGAAATGAACTAATAACTGACAAGTTCATAAGAAGAGTTAGTTTCTTGAGGAGTGATAGAATAATAGTTGAATTTCTGTTAGAAAGTGACATTTTTTTCTATTTCAGGAAAGCACTGGCAGTCTTTTCTAGTTATTACCTCAATATCGCTTCTCCAATAAAAATGCAACATTTATTTATGTTTTTGTTTTTAATTATATGCTTTCACAAAAACCATACATATATATGTATGCAAACACACACACAATTTTATACAAGCATCCATCTTTCTATGTTCAACCCTGTATTGAACAATATGGGATTGCAGTACTACAAAAAATGTTTGCCAGGAAAGGCAGAAGGAATGATACAGCCAGCACGAAAATCCACTGTTTAGCAAGCGATTGTCAGATTAAATGTTGACATTTTCTGAAGGCTTTCTCCTGTCCTGATTGAGCAAATGAGTACTTCAGTCACAGTATTGCTCCTAAACTTTTCCCTTTCCATCATTTCAATTATTTATTTAC